TGTGAAAAAATCTTTTCCAATATGAAGAAGTAAAAACCCATGGGACACTAGTCCAGAGTCAAACTTTCACTATGAAAATAATGGGTTACAAGAATCAAGCTTCACCAATAATGGTGGTATGCTCAAACCTCACCTACAATGGTGGTATACACTCAAACTTCTCTCAGGAGGTCTAACACTCAAGCATCTCCCTAGAGGTGCTTTCAAATTTTCTCACAAGCCCACTTTACCTCTATCTCACGATTAATGCTTATATAGGGAGGAAGAAGGTTTTGGGTTACTTGAGCCCCAAGTTCCTTGACAAACTTGAGCCCCAAGTTTCATCAACATTGGGTCTTGTACATTGAAGGAGGAAAAGCCCAACAAATCTCCCCCTTCTGACTTTAATGCGTCAGAAGAGGAAGATTTGTTGGGAAAGCACCTAGGCCAAGACCTAGGTGCTTTGTTCTTGAGATTTTTCTTCTGAATCATAGACTCTAGCTTTGTCCATAACTCATACGCATTCGTGAACTCGGACATGTGCTCAAAAAGGCTTTTGTCAGTATATTTTCTGATCATTGCTACTGCCTTCCGACTCAGGATCTCCCACTCCTTATTAGTTTTGCCTTTAGGCCTCTCATCAAGGATGATGGGCTCATATAGGTCTTTGCAGTACAGATGATCTTCCATTATCAGTCTCTAGTAAGTAAAGTTGTCTGCGGTCAGCTTGACCATGTCACCGTTATGTGAAATACCACTATTCTCCATCTCATCTCCCTCAGAATCCATCGAACTCAAGCTCTGATACCATTGTTGGGACGAACTCAGTCTCTCAATCTCGGCTAAGAAGCCTTTATAGAAGTCAAATGTTGAGCTCAGAGCTCGACTCAATCAGAGAGGTTGGCAACTTACCAAGTTGCCTATATAAGAACCCTCACCACCAAGTTAGGTCAAATAAAGAAATTAAGTAAGTGTTCAAGAGATCAAGTTGTGTTCAAGGAAATTGTGACAAGTTGTGTCAAATAATGATCAATTGATCATGAAATTGAGATGATAAGATATACAAGGATACAATTAATGCCAAACAAGTCAATTAGGATTCAACGGAAAATATTAGAAAAGTTTATCAATCAAAGTACAAATATGTATAAGTATAGGGACCATTTAGCAAATAAGAAAAATGAGGTCTAAACTTGATTTGGTTGATATAATTAAATTCCTTAGAGAACTTTATGGTTTTAAAATAGTCTTAGATTAGTCTATTTATGGTTAGATTAATTATTAAAAGTAGGTCAAAGTTGTAATAAAAACAACCAATAAGCCTTATAGGTCAAAGTGATGACTAGTTAACAAAGTAAGCTTAATGGCTAAGTTACTTTGATATTTCAAGTACTTAAATCAGTTTTTCCTCTTTCGATTACTACTTGCCGACATACTTGCAAGGGAAAGAAGATTGGTTAACTAGTTATTCAATTTAATTGGTTAGAAATTTAACAAAAGTGCCTAAAATATCTTTAAATTGTTTTTAGATGATTTTTCTTCTTAGTTCTTCTACTAACCACAAATTTTTCTGCATATTTCCTCCTCCATGACCAGCCACCATTCAAGAGCTTCGAGAGCTAATTTCTCATAGGAAACCTCACAAAAATATCATGACTATTTCATAAGAAATCAATCCTTGGAACCTTAGGATCCTATTTATGGTTTTAGTTTCTTTTCAAAAGCTTTCAGTCTCCTGATTTCTCCTCTTGATGGCCACGACCTAGGTAATGTTCATGGGTCCAAAGTTGAGTGTTTTCGCGGTTTGGAGCTTGGAGAAGGATCTCTAGGTGATTTGGAGTTCATTGGTGTTAAGAAACTCAAGTTTAAATGGTAAGTTTTCAAGTTATGATTTTAGGGTTTTCTGTTGAACATGGACGATGTTTTTATGTTGTGTTTTGTGTATATTCATGGTATTTGATGTTCATGGAGTTGATTTGATTAAGTTTTATTCATTGAAATATGTAAAAATTCGTGAAACCTTAATATACATCAAATCTGCCCCTGTCATGTAAAATTTATATCTGGAGTTGTAGAACTTCAATTTGAGTGTGGTTTGTTGCACATTAAAGGTACTATGTCTAGTATAACACAAAAAATTCAAGGCAAATGGATCAAAAATGGATTTTTCGTGTATTTATTAGTACATACTGTTCATTTTGGAAAATTAATGTTTCCATGGATTATTTTGTTAGTTAATTGTGTTCCTACTCATTGGAAGTTAATTAGAATAATTAAGTAGTCAATTTAAAGTGTGAAAGCTTGACGTTTTATGCATGTAAGAATTCAGCCATCGATAGAAAAAGGACGTGAAATATGATGTAATTCATTTAATTGTTAGAAAACAAGTTTGTGATGTGATTCAAGTATGTTAAAAAGATGGGAGACCTAAATAAAATTTAGGGTTAATATATTTATGATATTATGTAAGATTAAGGTTTATGTTTAAATAGTGTGTTGACTTATTTGGTATGGCATGGATTGACAAGTAAGCAAACATTGATGAAAGACTAAAGTAATGAACTTTAGCATATTTGTTGCACTGAATTAACCCTAATGGTTATTCATTGTTATTGATGGATAAGTCAGGTTTGAATCAAGTGACAGTGGGCTTCCATATTAGAGTTTGGAAGGTTGTGCTTAACTTTCTTGTATCCTAAGTAAGCTTTTCAGGAAAGCTTTTGCAGGTAAGCTCTTGGTTTAAGATTTTTTGCCTTCATTTTTGTTCCACCGTAGTCCAATATGGATAATGGTTCAGACGTGTGTATGCTGTGTTAGATATTTGGTATATGTGCATTTATATAGACATGTATATAAATGATGTGATGAATTTAATTCAAATAGACAAATAGACAAGATGTTGTGATGTGATTGAATGGTATAGTATCAAAATGACAAGTGGGAAGTACAAATGCTTCCGTAATCATTCAATTGGTATTATGTTGACAAGATTACATGTTGTATTATATACTTTATACCTAACCTTTCATACAGAAAGTGAACTCATGGGTGGAGACTACTCTATAAACCCAGAGTCTTATTGGGATTCATTTCTCACCTCGTCGTGGGGCTATAATTTAAATTGCAAGTACATCCGCCACAGGAGAACCCTAAAAGGGCAAAGGACCAGCACAATGAGGATAGAGGACTCAACAAGAGTGGACACTTAGTTATTTTGAATGTTTGTGTAGACATGTTTTGCTAGTGCATGAAGTATATGAGCATGCATGTATACAATTGATAATAATTTTGAGAGACATGTGTTTGCCTATGTGTATTTGTATATTATAGAGACATGATCTATGTGTTTATGTTTTGTACATGGTAGACGTAATCTAAATGGCACGGAGCCATATTTCAATTTATATACATTGGATATGAAATTGTCTGTTATCAGGTATAAGGTTAAATAGTGGGATATAATCCCTAGTTGTCAGTTTACAACCGTTATGTTATCCGATAAACTCTATACTGAATGATATAAATTTTCATATCTGTATAGTCATTGGTCATTGATTATGGTCACATGAAATTTAATTTGAAATTCTGTATAGGTATGAGACTGTACAATTCATTGAAACAAGACATATAATATAGATATAGCAAAGTGTAGAATAAATTAAAAGAAAAAGTTGCATCATGAAATTATATTGATAATTGTGAAAATTTTAGTAAGTCTTCTTCTAGGATAATCAAGTTCGTGTCTTTTATACCATTAGTAAGTTAACAATTCGATTATTAAATTAGGGTGTTACAGCCTATGCGCAGTCGAAACAGAAAATTATAAAGGAAATAGAGAGAGAAAAATGAACACAAAGATTTTAACGTGAGAAAACCTTCTCCAATGTGAAGAAGTAAAAACCCATGAGACACTAGTCCAAAGTCAAACTTTCACTATGAAAATAATGGGTTACAAGAATCAAGCTTCACCAATAATGGTGTATACTCAAACCTCACCTACAATAGTGGTATTCACTCAAACTTCCCTAAGGAGGTCTAACACTCAAACTTCTCCGTAGAGGTGCTCATAAATTTTCTCACAAGCCAACCTTACCTCCATCCCACAACTAATGCTTATATAGGGAGGAAGAAAGTTTAGGGTTACTTAAGCCCCAAGATCCTTGATAAACTTGAGCCTCAACTTTCATCAACATTAGGCCTTGTACATTGAAGGAGGAAAAGCCCAACAAAAACAATTAAAAAATTTAAATCTAGGATTTTCAAAGTATAAAAGCTTTATATTTCAGGTTTATAGAAAGAGTTTGCTATTTCTCATGTCGTTGCAGATAAAATTATCTCCTACGCACACACACACATAAAAATGTGTAGGACCTATGTGATGTTACAGGGGCGAACCAAACAGAGCCCAATGTGGAGATAGACAGTAATCAGATAAGCAGGCCCAACCGTATCAAAAGGGCACCTACTTGGATGGAGGGCTACGTGTAGTCAAGAAAAGAAACTTGAGGCTACTGTTAACCTTTCTGTTAGACGTGTAATAAGGGACGTGGCACTTGCTGCGCATGATATGGATTCTGTCATCTGATAGCTGTTGCCTTGTTATATTGGCCATAGTGGGTTGTAACAGAGGGCATAGAAATATTGGATTGATTTAGTTTTTTTTTAATTTCCTTTTTCTTCTGGAACTTTGTTCCTAACAAATTGGTGCTTTCATTCTGGACTCACAAGAAATATCACCGGTGGTGATGAAGGTCCAAGAACTTGCCGAAGAGGTGCATAACATGCAGTCGGAATTGAACCAATGCTTGGATCAACTGACGGAGAGCATGCTTGCAATCGATCTTCGCTTACGGGAACTCTCAGCAATTCCCACCTCCCCGAATCACTCTTCAGCTGGGAATGGTCATCACTCCTCATCCCGGCATAAGAATACAGAGTATAATCACCTCCTGAAAAGGGTAAAAATGGAGATACCCACATTCAACGGTTCCAATCCTCATAATTGGTTGTTTAAATCGAAAATGTATTTTCGCCTCCAACAGGTGCCTGAACATCTCAAGATCTCGTTGGTAGGGTTACGTATGGAGGGGGTTGCTTCCGAATGGTACCAGTGGATTTTCTTGAGCAACCGTGTGAATTCTTGGCCAGAGTTTGCCTTTGCGGTGAAGGAGCATTTTGGTTCTTCTGATTATTACGATTTGAAGGGTTTATTATCCAAATTATCCCAACAAGGTTCCTTATTTGATTACGTCCGTGAATTCGAAAGCCTCATCAATCAGGTCACAGAGTTCTCAGATGATCAGCTTATGAGGTTTTTTTATCTCTGGACTGCATCTTGATCTTCGCCGCGCTATTCAATTGCATTGGCCATCTTCCCTTCATCAGGCAATGCAGCTTGCTGCTGCTTATGAGGCCCATCATTCAGAGTTGCGTTCTTCATTCACTTCTTCCTCTAAGAAGTATTACAACACTTCCAAGTCTTCACCAATTTCTTCGGCCTCTCCCTTGTCGTAGTAGGTACCTGAGAAAAGTGCGTGCAGATCCTGGAAAAATTGAGGCCATGATTAATTGGCCAATACCTGGGACTTTGAAGCGGCTACGTGGCTTCCTTGGTCTTACGGGGTATTATCGTCGGTTTGTCCACAATTATGCTATGATTGCTGCTCCAATGTCAGACCTTCTGAAGGGGGATGGAAAATTTAATTGGTCTCCTGCAGCAGAGTTAGCCTTTCAACATCTGAAGACCATCATGACTGGGACACTTGTTCTTGCACTACCAGACTTCTCATCCCCTTTTGTGTTAGAAACAGATGCGCCTACTACTGTTGTGGGAGTTGTGTTATGTAAGAACCCGCTCCGTTGATTTAGAAAATTAATTAAAGAAATATGAGAATTAGGAAATAATTCCATAATTGACCATACTAATTATGATAAAGCTTAAATAATTATAGTAAGTATGAAATAATACTGAAAGTCGCTTTTCTGACAAAAAGTGTAGATACTGGTTCTGCTACTCGGTATAAATGCATACCGATGAAGTATCCCGAAAAATTATAACAAGTTCATGAATATTCCTAGAATAATATATAGGACTTGTAAAACAAGTTTCAGGCTAAAATAATGAGAACTGGTGCCAGAACTGAAACTGGCTATGGAAAGGCGCGTACCGGAAATGTGCTGCGAAAAATTAAATAAAAATATGACAAATCTTAGAAAAATGAGTAGGTTCAGAATCCTGAGTTTGGGATTAAAATGCTAAGCGTAGCTATTAGCGCTAATATAGTGCGATTAAAACTTAAGTGACTATAAATAGCAAAGTGGCACATGATCCTAGGTCATTTGTGCAATCCTACGTGAGTCCTTGGAGCTGCTGACCAGCCTCCTCCATGTTCATGCCTTCCTCTCTTTGAAAAACCACCAAATTGTCACCTTTTGCTTGATTTCTTCCCTCTAAACCTTATAAACACTTAGTGAAGTGGCTTGTGAGTGTGTGAGGCAACCATTATTCTGATGTTGAGCCTCTGTTTGCTGAGGTTTGGGGCTGTCTTCATGAGGGAGAGTTGAAGGAACCATTGTGATGACATCTTGAGCTTCAAGAAGCTACCTTTGGTGAGAAAGGACCAACCTTGATCACCATTTTTGTGTTCATTGGAGGTCAGACTTGTGGAGCTGTTGTGAGAGCACCAAGAGCATCATCCACCTCTGTTTTGAGCTTGTGGTATGATAACCACTCTTGTTCTTGAGTTTCCTTGGTTAAAAAAGGAACCTTGATGCATGTAATAAACTAAAGTTGATAACTTAAGGTTGGGTAAGGTTAAACACACCTAGAAATGCATGTTTAAGCTTCTGTAGACGTTAAAAGAGCCACCTTTGGGAAGGATATCTCGCGAAATGCAGAACTGCATTCTGTCGCAAAATATCCGGATATAATATCCGGATATGGGTCTTGAGATATCCGAATATGGATATCCGGATATGATATCCAGATATGGCCTCGACATATATCTGGATATTCTGGGTTTTCGTGAACAGTAACGGTATTGTTCATACATAATGCTATTTTTGGGTTTGTGGACCCATGATTAGTTGATGTGGACTTCTGTGTTAATTAATCTAAGTCAGAACCTAAGTGGTTAAGGGCTTATGGCTTTGTGAGAAGCCCAAAGACATGAAACGTAGAAGAGAAGCGTTGTCTTTTTGTTATATGCTTATGAGCCGTGGTTGTTGATATGATTGCTGGTCCAAAACAGATTGTGATTCTGTTGTGTTTGGGTTTGAGCTTGTGTGGACTCTTGGCTTGGATAACTAGCTTGCAAGGTAAGCTTTCATGTCCTCGATTTAGGCATTGTTTGTTCCACCATACCCCATGGAGGAATGGTTTATATGCATGATGTGTTTGCATGCTTTGATAATTGAAAATGCTGTTGAGCTTTATGTGCAATTGCTTTTAATATGTATGTGTTGTTCCACTTAGATGGTAAGCCTGAGTATGTGGCATCATACAAGACGGTGACATTGTGGGTGGGTGCAAGTGGCGTCTTGCACTAGTGTGGGTAATAGACGTATTCCTGCATTTCTCTGGCCAGTAGAATAATTATAACGCACATGACATGATTATCTGCTGCATTGCACTGGTTTTGGAATTTATATTGTTAAACTGCTTTTGAACTTATATTGCACATGTAAGTGAGCTTGGGGTGGAAAATCCTTGAGGACCCATTGTCTTACTGAGATTTCTGTTTAGAGATCTCACCCCACGTTTGGGGCACATATTTCAGGTTCAGGTAACCCAGGGGTTGAGACCTCGGGCAGCAAGAGGCCGGAGCTGAGTTAGATGTCTGCTGTTACTATTATATGCTGGATGCTGTTATGTTATCTTGATGATTATGTTGTTATTATTGAGACTGTTGTTGGGCCTTGTTGCCTTATTTGGTGAGCATGGGGATTGTCCATGCCACATTTGATTATGTATCGTTGTTTAGACTTGAAGTGTATAAACTATCAGGGTTTGTCCGGCCTATGTGTTGTAATGTCGTGACTAGAGACACAGTTAATGATTTATATATATGAGGTTATTCAGTGTAGATAGCTGTCTTTTGCAATTTACATACATGCAATATTTTGGAAATGAATGAAGTAATTCAACTTGGTAATATTAATGATGTCATAATTGAAAGGAAAAAGATATTCCGCAATTTTAAATTAAGCGTGGCTTAATACGATGACATGATAACAAACCGGGTATACACGAGGTGTTACATTTTATGGTATCAGAGCACTTTATAGGGAAAAGCCTGTATGTATTGCAATAATTTAGGATGTTTTGTTGCGAGTCTGTCTTGTGTGTTTCCTCTGTTGGGTTTTGCTGTGATGATGCATGTGTGACCACATTGCGTGGGCCTAATCAACTCATTTGTTGTGTAACTCATGCAGAGTCATGGTAATGCCTAGGAGAAACCGAGAGACGAACGAGGATCAACCAGATCCTATCTTGACTGCATTGGCTGAGATGCAGGCGGCTAGGATAGCCGATCAGGAGGCCACTAGATTGGCCAACTTGGCGATGATGGACGCCGTTCGAGAGGCGAACCAGAAGGCCACAGAAGATGTGCTAGAGGCGAACCGGCTGGCGAACATGGCTTTGATGAGGGTCATGTCGGAGGTGATGAGGACTGGTCCTGTTGGTGATCAGCATCCTCCGCCACCACCTCCACCGCCACCACCTCCGCAGCCTCCACGTAGCCTTCAGGACGAGAGCCTAAGTCACGTTGAGGGTGCCACTCCTCTTACCGGGGTGATGGAACCCTACTTGGAGGCTGTTGAGGATCGTGATGTGATTGACCGTCGGCTTAATGCTTTCCGCAAGCATAAGCCACCTTTCTTTGATGGGTCTTATGATTCTATTGCTGCTGCGAGATGGTTACAGGCATTGGACATAAGTTGATGTTCGCCACATATATGCTGGAGGGCGATGCTCATAAGTGGTGGATGAACACCTCTCACACTTATGAGATGTAGGGTCATGTGATGACATGGCCATTATTCGAGGACTGCTTTTTGGGTATATATTTCCCTTATGATGCGCAGGAGAGAAAGCAGGGGGAATTTGACAAATTGGTGCAGGGCTCGATATCTGTTGACGACTACCTGGTGAAGTTTAATGAGCTAGTTAAGTTCGCTCACTTTCGTATGGTTGTGCCTACTCTGACCTTTTTGGCTGCTAAGTTTCGCAGGGGACTTAGTGAGGAGATTGCAGAGCGTATTGCTGGAGCAGCATCGAGAGATTTTGGTAAACTGGTACAGCAGTGTAAAGACATCGAGGATGTCTGCATAGTGAGTAAGGCCAAGAGGGCCAAGGTTGCTGAGACGAAGGAAACTGGTAGTTCCACTTCCTAGAGGGACAAGAAGTTTGCTGGCAAGAACAAAGGAAAGCAGTTGGCGGCTAGGCAAGCGCCAAATCAGTTTAAGAGGACTTCCACTCAGGGGAGTGCAGCGAGACCTCCTGCTCCCAGATGCGCGAGATGTGGGAAGGCTCATGTGGGGCCTTGTGCGATAGGCCAGTTGATATGTTTCCAGTGTGGCAAGGAGGGCCACTACTCTAGAGATTGTCCGTCGTCGACTGCGAGAGCTGTAGCGATGTAGGCAGTTCCACTTCATATGGTTCCCCTTCCACCTACAGCAGCACCTGTTGTGCCACCTGCCACTGGGCGAGTTTACACTTTGGATCGGCAGCAGTCGGACCGAGCTCGAACCTTGTCAGAGGTACTGTTTCCATTGGTGATTCGATAGTTGATGTCTTGTTTGACTCTGGGGCTACGCATTCTTTTATTGCAACCCCGATTGCTGTGGGGCTTGAGTTGCCCATTGCTGTGCTTTCTCCACCGTTGCAGATGACTACCGCCACCGAAGAAAAGTGTGATACCTCCACTGTACATCGAGATGTCGTGTTTTAGTGGGATGGCCGTGACTACTCGGTAGATTTGATTGGATTGCCGATGGCTTATTTGGAAATCATTCTGGGCATGGATTGGTTGTCCAGAGATTGTGTGATGATTGACTGTTGTGTAGTGATGGTGTCTCCATGTGATTCCACAGCCAGTCCCTCGCCTTTTATTTCAGTGCTGCAGGCTAGAAGAGCCTTGTGAGCAGGGACATTGGTGATGTCTTGTTGGAAGGTTTGATGATTGGGACACAGAAAGATATCACTGGAATTCCTGTGGTGGGGGAATTCCTCGAGGTGTTTCGTGAGGAGATTCCTAAGCTTCTGCCACAGAGGGTGATAGAGTTCTCCATTGATTTGTTGCCTGGTGTGGCGCCTATTTCATTAGCTCCATATCGGATGTCGCCACCAGAGTTGGCGGAGTTGACGGAGCATTTTGAGGATCTTTCGGTGAAAGACTTCTTTCGACCGAGCGTGTCTCCATGGGGAGCACCGGTCACTTTTTTTAAAGGTAAGATGCCTTACGCTACTACTTAATCGTGATGGTGCCTTGTTTGAGACTGTGAAATTCTCTTCAAGGAATTAAGTGTGTAACACTTGGACTTTGTGGCAAGGCCACGTGCGATCTTGTATTCGCGAGTCTAGTGCGTGTACAAGTAGTTTGTGGGTTGAGTGGTCTCCATGACTCTAGGTTCTTATGTTGATTATTGATATGCTTCATAAGTAGTTGACATGTTAACACCATGGGTAGTGTAAAACATGAAATAAGTACAATAAGTTGTGGTAATGTACCCATGCTATTTCATCTTTAATTGACTCTCGATTTTGCAGATACCATGGAGATTGAGGTATACCGTTGCATAGAGTTTTTGATTTATTATGTTATTGAAATTGAAAATTTTGCAGGTGTACGTGAACTAAGG